TCTTAAGGCAGTGATGGCAAACCTTTTGAGCTCGGCGTGTCAGCATTTTGAAACACCCTAACTTAACTCTGGTGCCGTGTCACATATAGAAATTTTTTATATTTGCAACCATAGTAAAACAAAGACTTATATTTTTGATGTTTATTTTATATATTTAAATGCCATTTAACAAAGAAAAATCAACCAAAAAAATGAGTTCGTGTGTCACCTCTGACACGCATGTCATAGGTTCGCCATCACTGCTCTAGGCCCTAGAGAGCCAGTAGGCCCAGGAACAGGAAGATGGGAAGACAAAATCAATTGTGAGGATATAGTTGATAGGATTTGAAGAATGAATGTTGATTGAAATAAATCATTGATAGTCGTAATAAAAAAAAGAGTAATGATTTAGCCCTGCTGGGTGGCTCAGTTAGAACATCATCCCATACACCAAAAGGTTGTGGGTTCGATTTCCAGGCACATACTTAGGTTATAGATTCTATCCCCACTTGGGACAATATGGGAGGCAACCAATCTATGCTTCTCTCACACATTGATGCTCCCCTTCTCCTCTCTCTCTAAAAATCAATAAACATATCCTTGAGTGAGAATTTTAAAAAATAAAACAGGTTAATGCTTCAATGATTCAAACATATCTGGAAATGGCCTGACTGGTATTGCTCAATTGGTTGAGCATTGTCACATTAATCTCTCAATCTCTCTCTCTCTCTCTCTCTCTCTCTCTCTCTCTCTCTCTTCCTCTCTCTGAAATCAACAAAAACATATTTTTAAAAAACATATCTGGAACTTTACTTTCTATGTACTCTCCTATATTTTGGAGCAACTGTGTCCAAAAGAGAGTTACACAGCCTGGAAACAGGCTACAAAATATTTTCACTCCAAGTGCCAAGTAGGACTGTGGACAGTAGATGGCACTTTTGTGCTCTGCCTGAAATTTGAAGTGAATTAACGTAGGAATGATCCGAGCTATATACAAACAACTCTTTTTAGTACTCAAGTATATAGTTTAAATATTTTATATATTTAAATCCAGGTTCTGATTTGAGGGGGATCTGTGAAAGGGGGGCTAACGAAAGGATCAGTTTGCCCTGCCTAGCACTCGGCTTTCAATGATACCTTGCACATTTTTAAATATTGTGAAATAGTGTGGCTCCCGTACAGGTTAATAAGTTTGTAGTCTGAGGAGGTCCCTAATAATTACTGCAGCAAGTAGAATTACATGAACTCGAGCACACTTGAGGTTAGGAAAAATACCCCCAATTAGGCCATATTTCCAAATGTCCATCTGAGCTTTTGCTGTTTGCGAAGGTGAGGAACAGCAAAAAGGAGCAAAATCAAACATGGAAAAGAACCGTAGGAAGGGCAGTTTGAAGAGATGAAGACAGTAGAATGAAAACAAAGCAAATGGCCTGGCTGGTGTGGCTCAGTGGTTGAGCGATCAGCGGAGATGCAGGTCTGATTCCTGGTCAGGGCACACACCTGTGCTGCCAGCCCTATCCCCAGAAGAGGCGTGCAGGAGGCGGCCGAGCGATGATGTTTCCCTCTCATCAATGTGTCCCTCTATTCCTCCCTCTCTAAAAATTAATAAACATATTTAGAAAATAAAGCAAATGTTACTTTTTTTCTTTTTGTAAAACTTACTCCTAGGCTAAGATACAGAATTCTACATATTTACAATATGCTTGCAGTCATGCAAAAGGCATGATGACTGACTCAGTGATTAAGAGAATGAAGTCTGGAGGCAGCTGTGCCACTTCCTGTGTATGGGGCAAGTAACTCACTGTCTCTGCACATCAATTTCCTTGTCTATAAGATTGAAATGGCAGTAACAGCATCTCTATAATAAGATTCTTATGAGGATTAAATGTCAGAATCTGTAAGGTACTGAGAGGAGTATCTGGCATGTAGTGAGCCTACAATGAGTAGATGATGAATTTTATAAAAGTCAACTTTAGGTGATGGGACAATAGGTGATTTTTTTCTATTTGATTGAAAACATGTATTTTTTGATATTTGGAAAAACATTTAATATTTTTTACTAAAAGACAGAGAAAATCTGTACTTTTGTTTCCTTTTGAGCTAGTTTCTACATCTCCAACTGTTTCTTTTTCTGTAATCTTTTGTACCCCAAATTAGACATATCTTGGCTGTGAGAAATCCTAAGGTTTGGGTTATTCCTCAGAATTCCGAGAATTATTTTTTATTGTC